TGATGTTGGCTGTGGGTTTGTTATATATGGCTTTAATTATGTTGAGGTATGTTCCCTCCAGTCCAATTCTCTCTAGAACTTTAAACATAAAAGCATGTTGAATTTTGTCAAAGGCCTTCTCTGCGTCTATTGAAATGATCATGTGGTTTTTGTCTTTCAGTTCATTTATATGATTAATCACATTTATTGACTTTCATATGTTGAAACATTCCTGCATCTCTGGGATAAAGCTTACTTGATAACGGTGAATGATCTTTTTGATGTGTGTCTGTATGCAGTTTGCAAATATTTTGTTGAGAATTTTTGCAACTATGTTCATTAAGGATATGGGTCTATAGTTTTCTTTATCGGTTGTGTCTTTACCCGGTTTGGGTATTAGGTCTCCCTCTGTTTCTATCATTCTGAATAATTTAAGTAGTATTGACTGGGGGACTTCTTTAAATGTCTGGTAGAATTCTGCTGTAAATCCATCTGAGCCTGGGTATTTTTTTAGTTGGCTTCGTATTACTGTTTCGATTTCCTTATATGTTATGGGTCTGTTTAAACTGTTGATCTCTTCTTGGTTTAACTTTGGTGGTTCCCATGATTTTAGCTCTCAATTCATTTCTTTTAGATTTTCAAATTCAGTAGAGTATATAGGCTTTTAAAATATTCCCTTATAATGGCCTGGATCTTTTGGGTGTCTGTTGTGATGTTTCCCATTTCATCTCTGATTTTGTTGATTTGGAGGTACTCTTTCATAAGTTTGGTCTATCTTGTTTAACTTTTCAGAGAACCAGCTCTTAGATTCATTGATTCTTTGAATTGTTTTCTTTGTTTTTATTTCATCAATCTGCTCTGATTTTTGTTATTTCTTCTTATCTGCTGGCTTTGGGTTATTCTCCTGGGTTTGGGTTTCATTTGTTCTCGCCTTTCCAGCATCTTGAGTTGCAGTGTTAGGTCATTTATTTGGGCTCTAATTTTTTCATGTAGGCACTTAGAGCTATAATCTTCCCTCTTAGGACTGCTTTTAAAGTCTCTGAGAAGCTCTGTTGTGTTGTATTGTCCTTTTTGTTGAATTCCAGGAATTCTTTTATTTCTTTCTTAATTTCTCCTTTGACCCACTCATTGTTTAGGAGTGTGTTGTTTAAACACCGTGAGTTCGTGTAGTGACTAGGATTTCGTCCAGTGTTGATTTTGTGGTTTATTGCATTGTGGTCTGATAGAATGCATGGAATTATTTCAATTTTTT